CGTTCACTTTTGTAATTTTCATCTCGTTTTAAGAATTGATCCCCAGAATCGGACTCCAAGATATCTTGACGCTTCTAGCGCACGTGTGAACGATGTGGGATATAGAATTTGAGGTTAATAAGAGTTAAGTTTTCATGTCATTCTGTGTTTTCATTACATTTGCTTTTATATATTGGTATATTATAAACGTTATTATATATATATCGTAATATTTTAAACATTATTTACGAACATTTTTTCGCGAAATGGGGCGTATTCAACATAAAGGGGTACTAAATACTAAGAGCAACAAATCTAAATCAATACAGAAAACACGCAAGCAATTGCGTAAAGAAAAAAGGCAACAAAAGAAAATAAGTAGAGCAGTGTATTATCAAAAGAAAAAATCGAAAAATCAGTCGGAACAAATTTTGGAAATATCAAGGGTTAATAATGATAAATTGATGAAGAAAAAAGAGAAAAATAATACTGAACAAGTACCATCGAAGCAAAAACGACAAAAGCCTAAAGATGCAAAGGAAGAAAGAATGCAAAAGAATGTGAAAAAGCAAAGGGTCACACAGTTAAAACAGGCCAACTTGGACGAGGATAAAGCGATTAAACAGTTGGAAAAGCAACTGAAGTTAAATAAACGAAAGAGCAAATCTATTCCAAAGTCTTTCGTATCAGATGGATTAGATTGTATCCTTTTAATAATTTACTTATTGCTAGAAATTTTTTCATAAAATTAATGCTTTTGTTTATTCTGTATGAAGTAAAAAAGAATATGTATATGGAAGTTATTCTTAAAAATTGTTAAATTATATTTTTATATTTTATACTATATTTTTATTATGATTTTATATTTTAAATTTATAATTTCAGATTTATGTCATAATTATTTGGTTATAAATCATTTATAGTTCTTTAACTTTTAATTAGATCTTTTGGATTTCTGTAATTCAGAAAATAGGAGTCACATTGTTGAAACTGAAAAGCAGTTGTTAGAAACTGGATTGAGTAAAGAATTTGAAGAGGACTTGAACATGGCTATTGGTGAGGATGATACTGAAGATGGGAATGAAAAACATGAGCAAGATAGTGTAGATGATAATGAAGATTCTGAACAAAATTCAGAAAATGAGAGTCTTTTATCTGATGAAAATGTAATTCAAGTTGATAGTAGAGAAATTTCTTTAAAAGAAACAAATACAATAAACATTAAATCTAAAAAGTATGTACCAAATGAAGAAGAGGAGACAGTAAATGAAGAATCCAGTCTTAGTAATACATCAGAGCAATCAGATGGAGAAATTTCTTCAGAGGAAACAGATACAATAAACATTAAATCTAAAAAGTATGCACCAAATGAAGAAGAGGAGACAATAAATGAAGAATCCAGTCACAGTAATACATCAGATGATAACGAAGACTTATGGGAAGATATTTATGGAAGGCAAAGAGACAAAAAAGGCAATATTGTTTTAAAAAAATATGTACCACCTGCTGTACGCATTGCAAGTAATAATATTTCTTCTGATAGTGAAAAAATTAATAGGTTAAAGAAACAGATGAAAGGTATTTTAAATAGATTGGCAGAACAAAATATGCATACCATTGCAAACCAGGTAATTATTAACATGTATATGTTATTTAGTCAAATATAAGGATGTTTCACAAGGAAATTGATAAACTTCCAGAAAAACTTTTAGAATGTATTGTACATCATTATATAAATTTTCTTAAAATATAATCTTCAGAATACATTTATCGATTTCTTCATGGAACACTGTATATATATAAAAATAATAAAGTAAACTTATATTTAAAGTGATATTTAAAAGTTGAATATCTTTATTGAAAAGAGTATTATTTGTGACTGATAAACATTATTTGTTATCCAATTTTTAATGTAGGTAGAAGAAATGTACATGTCAAACAGTCGTAATTGTATGAATGTAATGTTATCCACACTAATGATGGAAAGTATAGTTGCACCAATATTAACTCCAGATCGACTTATCTGTGAACATATGATGTTAATCGCTATATTACATGCAAATGTTGGTACAGAAGTTGGAGCACATTTTTTACTGACTATTGTAAAAAAGCTTCACCACATGTTGGAAGAATCTCATTGTGTTGAGAATAAAGAATTAGATAATATAATTCTTATTATTTCACATCTCTATAATTTCAAGGTAAAATTATTAACGATACTTTTGCACACATTATTACAGAATATATTTATGATTCTATTTTCTAGGTATATGGTCATCGCCTTTTATATGAAATATTAGAGAAACTAGCAGCAAAATTTACGGAAAAAGAAATTGAACTGATTTTATTGATTTTAAGAACAGTAGGTTTTCAATTAAGGAAAGATGATCCAATTGCTTTGAAGGAACTTATATTAAATTTGCAACAAAAAGCAAATAATGCTATTCTGGAAAAGTAAGTCTTTATACTTTAAAATACTATGTCTATACTGGACGCTCACACATTTGATTTTAAATGATTTTTCCTAACTATTCTTTGTATAAATCTGCATTTCTTGGAATATTTTTTAATATTTATTATTTTTATTTATATATATTATGTATATTATTATCTTTGTAGTTCAAGAGTCAAATTTATGTTGGATGTACTATTGGCAATAAAAAATAATAACATGAGCAAGATACCTCAATATGATCCATCTTGGATAGAACACTTGAAGAAAATACTAAAGAGTTTTATCCATAAGGGCAATAGTGTTACACAATTTAATGTAACTTTAGAAGACTTATTAGAAGGTATGTAAAATACAATATGTATAATACAATTTAAAAAAATAACAGTTTAAAAAAATAAGATTACATATTTTTATCTTTTTTTAGCTGATGAAAGAGGAAAATGGTGGATAGTAGGCTCAGCCTGGTCCGGTCTTAAGGATATTGGTAAATTAGAAAAGAATTTGGAAGACAAAAAACAAAAATACAGTGAGGACATATTGGAATTGGCACGAAAACAGAGAATGAATACTGATGTTAGAAGAGATATCTTTTGCATACTTATAACAGCTGAAGATTATTTAGATGCATTCGAAAAAATTCATCATCTTGGTTTGAAGAACCAACAACAGAGGGAAGTCATTTATGTTATCCTCAATTGTTGTATTCAAGAGAAGAAGTTCAATCCTTATTATGCTGTATTGGCGCAAAGGCTATGTGATTCTGATAGAAAATATCAGGTACATAAATATAATTCTATATATAAAATATTATTGCATCTTTAATCTATGCCGCAAGAAATTCTTTAAAGATTAGCTTAGAATCAAAATAAGGAAATCAATGCATTAGGAAATCAGTTTCTAATCAGCAATCTAAGGCAAAATCGATTTTTCTAATAGCACTCTAGCACTTAAAAAATAGAAAGGTCTGTTAGAAGTATTACTCTGTAAATGTATATTGCAATTATTACTTTGTATTATTTTACGTTCAGTAAAATTGATGAATATTATTATATTATGTTGATACCAATACAATTATATCGTTTTTTATTGTTAGCGAGAGTATTGAAGTATCGACTTTGTGAATAAATAATTAGTGTAAAGATTTCCAAGCGCAATAGTATATTTTTTATATATATGTTCTAATGATTAATAATGATTCATTATTATAGTTAACTATACAATATGCATTATGGGATAAGTTGAAGACGTTGGATGATTTGAATACAAAACAGTTAACAAATGTGGCAAAATTCTTAACTCTTTTATTCTTAGGCAAAGGTCTTCCGCTTTCCGTTTTAAAGGTATGTGTACGCCTACATCAACTTTTCTAGTTATTTTTTGCTTATGTAATGTTTATTATTATTTTATTATGTTTTATTATGTTTATTACTATTATATTTAATTTTTATTATCGTATATAACAAATACAGGTGATTCAATTCACGGAATTAGACAAGTTAACCATGAGGCTTGTACGGCAAATCATGTTGGGAATATTATTACATGAGAATGAGGAGGCCTGTTTAGAAGTATTTGGAAAGATATCTTTATCCCCAAAGTTGCAGACTTTTAGAGAAAGTCTTAGATTATTTATAAATCATTTTCTTGTAAAAAATGTATGTGCTGCTGAAAATTTGCAAGAACATAGTAAACTATTGAAGAAACGGGCAGGATTGATAGATAAACTTTTAAGTACACGAGAGTCAAAATTTATATTTTAACGGATATTTTTATAATAATTAGTACTTAGGACATATATTTTTTATATGTTTATATTATGTATAAAATTCTAGGTATTCAATGTGTAAATATAAAAATGTTATTTATTTTTTTTCGAAATATATTTATAATAAGATACAAATACCTAACATTATTTAAGTTTTTTTTATTTTATGATTTATTACAGAATACACTTAATATAAGAATATAGCTAATTTTTCTTCTATCTCTATATCTCTATATATAAAATAATAACAAGATAAAAATTTATAAAAACTTTAAAATATTTAAATAACGATATTTATTTATTGAATATGTTGATTTTTGAATAATACGAATAATATACAGGATACCCCGCAATTTTTTGCTAAGCGCTTTTGTGTAGATAGAGCGAATTAAACTGAGTTGCAAAAGTTCTGTACCATTTTGCAATTTATACAATGATTAACGATATATTATAATTATTAAAAATTACCGAATATTAGTTTTCAATAATTTTTTTACTCAAATACTATTAATTTTACAGAAAAAGAGACAAAGATTGTTTATTTTCTTTTCATAGACTTCTAAGAATTTTTTCAGAATTTTTTATCAACTTTTTACTACTGCATTTTCTTATTAACAATTATTTTTACTAACATGAGAAAATATGATATTAAAAAATAAAAATTAAACGACTGTATTTTAAATATTTGATAAATATATATACAATGGGCTATCTACGGATAATTAACGAATTATTATTAGATCATTATAATAACATTTATATGCATATACAGGGTATACATATAATAATATACACATGTATTATTTATTTCAATGTTCTCCTACAGTTTGTATACACAATTTATATATATCCTGGTAAACACTGTGTAACGTATTAGTGCAGCCGCTTGCGCCAAATCGATGAATACGTACATAATCATCACAGTTAATTATTCCATTTCCAGTGCAATCCTGTTTAATTAACGCACATTAGATAATTTATATCAGTAAATATATGTATAAGTTGGAATTTAAATATGATCTTACTCGACTAAATCTAGCCATATAGTTTTCTACCGTACGAGCAGCGCAATATGTATCTATGGCACAGCTCCTAAAAGCTAAAGGAAAAAATTAAAAAAAATATATTTTTTTAATATTACGTTAATTATAAAATTTATATTTATTAGTTAAATAATATTAGAATGTAAACTATAAGAGTATACTTCGATTTCGTATACTCGGAGTTCTCAAAACTGATTTTTTTCAACGCTGTTAATGATTGAAGAAGAAAATCATAGATATATCTTTTCGAATTATAATCTAGAATATTCATATGAAAACATTGCATTTTATATATTCTTCTTTCACAATTATAAATATGTATATAATAATAAATATTATAATTATATATTTGAGAAATATCGCCTATTTTTGCTTCTACAATTAATTAGTAATTCAAAGTGCATATCTTACACAGGTATGTAGTATTACTTTATTTTTTGATAACTTATTTCTTAACATGAACTAATATACATATATGTGACTTCATTTTGTTAAATTTATTTTCTTAATTTTAGCTAAACTTTTTATTAATTTTATTTTGTTAAATTTTAGCTAAACTTTTTTATATTTGCTTAAAAAAAACATAATTTTTTTCGTTTTCGTTTTCTTTTTAAAATATAGTATAATATTATATACGTAAATATAAGAACGCAGCTATAATATATGTATAAATAGAAAATAAAATTTATTTTTAATAAACATTTAATGTATAATTTTTTTTGTATGAAAAAACTACTCACTATCTTCATTATTGTTATCGCTTTGCCCTCCATTTATATGTGGTCTGCCAGCATCAATCCAATATTGTTTTGTTATATAAAAAGGTCCACATACCGGTCCATCACAGCCTACAGTGATATTACAACCTGAAGCAGCTTCGCATATACAGCCTATGCATTTTTGCGATATCTCTTGAGCTGAACGAATAACAGAGATATAATAATTATTATGTTCTTCATTATTTTTCTTCATTAGAGTTAGTTGCGTTCAGAACACTTCATCATCTTTTATAAATTTTCTATGAACTAAAATTGTTTTATCAATTAAATGTTTTTATCTATCTTACATAAATTATATATTAATGTTTTGACAAAATATAAACAATAAACGTAATTATAAATATTTGTGATGTTTTTTACGTTTATGGTAAATATTTGAGAAAATGCGAATAGTCCAATTCACACAGACCTATTTATACATTATTTGTCCACAAAAAAAGATGTGAAAGTAGAAAATTCATGTTTTTATGCACATCTATATATAAAACATGTAATGGTTATTTAATATGAGATAGTTTATAATTTTTTTTATTTTTAAATATATATTATATATAACTATTTTTTATAAATATTATTAACCAAATTTTATTTAATAAATAACAAACGTTTCGGCATTATTCCGAGCCATCATCAGTGGATACATTACTTAAGTAACACATGAACACATATATGATATGATATTACGTATATCTACTCACAGACATATCTGCACAAACATGATTGGTTTTATAACGTCACAGTTAAAAATATAACTCAAACCAGTTTATTGTAAAATTAAATTACCACTTGTTTAGAGATAGCTATAGGTATTGACGAAAATTTTTCTTTTATTCGATTTATAATATTACTTTATTTAGATATTATCTCTATTTTATTATCTCGATAATAAAAATTATTAAAAATAGGTAAATTATTCAAATTTTACTATATAAATTGGGAATTCCTCAGAATCATTGAATGAAATGTATTTCCCGAATCGTTTTACTTGGAAATATTTATACATTTTGAAATATCGTGTTTTACTTGGAAATATCCATACAATTAAAATACGCAATATATGCAGTTATTCCGGATAACACAAAAATCGAGGTATAAAATATTTTTAAAACATTTTTGCGAGAATTATTTAAAAAAAATGTCTAAAAGATGTCTTAAAATCATCTTGTGTCCTGATTTTAAAAAAGGACATTTATAAATTTCAAAATTAGTTATAAAATGCTAATTGGAGAATCTTTTGTGTGCATAAAGAAATTATTAGAAATTTAAAAAAATAATAATTATCGTTATTATTTAGTCATTATCGTTTATTATTTAGTCATTATCGTTTATTATTAAGTCATATTCACGAGCTTTAAATTCATATTAGCCTTGAATTGAGATTTATACTTAATTGATCTATAAAAAAATCTAATATAATTATTGATTTTTAATTTTTTTAATAAAAATTATTTGATTTTAATAAAAAGTAATATACTATATATTAACTTATTATAATGGACTTATAGTATATATAATTTTCATATATTTGGAGAAGATTTGCGTATTATATATACAATTCTTATACTTTCTCGTTAAAAAAAACCGATAGCTCACCGAAACTATATACGTAAAACAGCCCAATTATTGTAATAGCAATCCACGAGACTTTCACAGACATCTTGGAGATATATTAATGATCCACGAAAAGTAATGTTACTACTATATGAGTTGATCCGCACTTCTCGATGATTGCTTTTTTTATGATGTATGATGAAGGCGAGAAGTAAAATATAGATACGATGATTCAGGATGAGTGGGGAAAGGAAAAATTATTTGAACGGCTGTGAAAAAATTTCATCATTGTTGCATTAAAAGAAAAAGAAAAGTTATAAAAACAAGAATTATAAGTAATGGAAAATGAATCGAAGCACTGATGATCAGTATTAATTCAGAATCATTCTGATCAATTTATCGAGATTCTTTAAATATAAGATTATATTTAATGTAAGATTTTTTAAATATAGAACAAAAATATACTTTCAAGAAAATATTCTATATATACACATAAAAATAATTGTAATAATTAATTTTAAAAAATTAAAAATATTCCATAAATAGTTTTTAATTCTTAATGTTTATACTATAACAATAATTCTTGAACCAAGCGTTATCTCTGATTTGTTTCCTTATTGCAGTTTCATGTTTTTCTGCGAAGCAGATATCAATTTATAGTTTTTTAAATACAATATATGATTAATGCCGTTTTATCACACGCGCTACATAAATTTAAACTATTTGAAGAAAGAGACGAGAGTAGATGAACTTTTAAATATACTTATATATATTTTTACCGATATTTTTATAATTAACAGTAATATATAATAAATAAAACATATGTTTTATAAAACATATACGTATATATTATATACCTATTATATACATATATTATATTATATAAAATTCTCTTCACCAGGATGCGCATAATTACCCGCTGCGCAGAATTCCCTCACTTTCCCCAATGAAAGTAATCTAATTA